TGCAGCTCTTTCCCAATCCTATTTTGCGAGCCTTTTAGCCTAAACGGACTATTCCTAAAGTTGCACGGTAATGTACCAAACAGTGTTTCTTTGCTCCTCACAGAGGAGGTTACAAGTAAGTATTTACTACTTTTTCATAGCTCAAACTTTTGACCTTCAAGAAAGCTTGAAGGACTTAACAGTATTTAATTCCTTTATTATCCAAAGAAAATGTTTTGTGTTAAATTTAAACAAGACATCAGTATTGCTGTTTTTCTTTCTGCTCTCGGAGCTAAAAGGGACAGGAAAACAACACAAACAGATGACTTGTATCCATTAAATTGGTGAAATAAGAGCTAAGAAGCAGAAATATCTGGGTAAGCTCTCAGCTTGCACAGAGCAGCTAGATTCATTCTCTCAAAAGGACTGTATCAGATCTACTCTATTAGATACTAAAAAATCTACTCTATTAGATTCAGAAGCACTTGAGTGCTTTTCATAAGAATAAAACTGCAGGCTGGCACATAAGAGTATCAGATATGTTGTTCCATGGAAGACACACTCCTCCTTTTCTATCTGTCTATACAGTCGTTTGCATAGCTTTCTGGTCAGATGCCACAGACAGAGGCCAAGAACTATCCAGGACACCATCCCTGCTCTGCTTGAGGGTAGGTATGGAGGACACTCATGTCTCCTGAGGCTCCCTCTCCCCTTTAGTGATGCAATTACAGTGGGATCCCCGAGCCAACTGCCTCAGCCAATCTGGCTGCAGCTTTTGCTAGCTTCAGCTTCTGGTCCATTCACTTTTAGACCTAGGACACCATTTGGTTGTGTGCTTCTTGGCCTATGGAGGCTGCTGGATACCCAGTGACTGGCTAAGGTCATGGCCACTCCATCTCCCTTCACTGTGTCTTACAAGAACTCCATTTTGCTCTTACTCTTGAATGACAGTTTAGCTGGCTACAATACTGTCCCTGACAGATAATTTTCCTCAGTCCTCTGAAGGTGTTCTGTTCTTTTCTGGCATTCATGGTGGATGAGAATTGCTGCTTCTAATTTGATTGCAGTGCCTTTGTGAGTACTGGGAATTTTCTGTTAGCTGTTTAGATTTTGTTGTTATTCTTTGTATTCTGAAACTTTATTATGATGTATTAAGGTTTATAAAATTCACCCTGTTTTGTACTCTGATGAGTTTTTTCAATCTGAGTACTCCTGGCTTTTTCAGTTTTGGAAAATTTTTGGTCATGATATCTCCAAATATTTCCTTTTTTTCATTCTGTTTTTTCTTTTTGGAATTCCTCAGTATGTCCTTGTATCCTCAGCTCTTTATATCTCTGAACTGCAATTTGTATGGTTCCTTCTGTTCTATCTCAATTCTCTTTTCATATGCTTTAGTTTACTTTTTAATTCTATTTTATTTTTAAATCAGGAAAAAAATCTGCCTGTTCCTTTTGAATACTCTCTTGGTCTTACTTCACAGGCAGTATTCCTGTCTTTATTTTTTAATTGGTTCTCCTGTTTATTGCATCTGCAGTTATCTCTCATGGCCATGGATTTTGCTGCTAACAGTTGTGTCCTTACAAGCTTATTTAACTCCCTTGTGACTCATTTTCTTCTTTTGTGAGGCGGGAATAATAGTAGTACTTCCCTGATAGAGTTGTCATGTGGACAATGTAAGTTAATACCTGTAAAACACTCAGAACAAGGCTCACACAGTAAACCCTATATATCATGTTGTTGTTGTTATGTGCCGTCGACTTGGACTCAACTCATAGCGACCCCTCCTTGGTTTCCAAGGCAATATCACTACGGAAGTAGATTGCCCCATCTTCCTTCCGAGGAGTGGCTGGTGGGTTTGAACTGCTAGCCTTCTGGTTAGCAGTCAAGTGCCTTAGGCATTATGCTAGCAGAGCTCCCCTATATATCACAGAGCATGCAAAAACATTTTAGATTAACATTTTTTCAAAGAACAAATCTGATTTCCAAATGGAAGACACTGATATTTCATTGAGATATACCCAGAAAGAAACTAGGTAATAGGAAGCTGATTGAGTGTTCTAGAAAATTACCTTTGTATACTCTTTTAATGAACAGAGGCCCATCTCCAGACATGGAAGATGTTCCTCCATCGAGACTCAATCCCAAACCAGCAGAGGTCTTCAGCACTTCCACACACAAGGCATCATGGACAGCTGTACTTCTCCCTGCAGCAATGGCATTTATAAAGACGAAAATGACTGGTTTGACATTGTATATCTGTCCAAGTTCCCCCAAATGTGTTATGTGTGTACCATGTGCTCCCTGGCTCCACTAAGTCCCATCTACCTGGAAGTGCTTATAAGAGGATCTGAGATCAGCATTACTGGGGGTGCTGCCCTCCTGGCTGTGTTCTTGCTGTGCGCACACCTGCTTCTCTTCTGGGCATTCTGCTAGTGTGGAGAACGATTTCGTGACCAACCAGTTCAGAAGGTGCTGGGGTCCAGGAGAGCATGACAATGCCTGATGACAAGGGTTTCCTAGTAGTGGGAAGTGCTTCAACTCTCCAGAAGAGTGACAAGAGAGGGAGACTGATGACACCCCAACAATGCGGAGGCATCTGGACGAGTGGAACCAGGGCCGTTTTCAGTAAAGCCATTACACAGAGCTCAAGCCACAGTGAAGCCACATTGAGCAGAAGGGCTTTCTGCTACCCTCTGTTTTATCAGGAGAGATGTTGTTAAGAAGACACCCCAGGCTCTCCCAACCTGAGCTTCTGAATACTCTATTGTGTCCTCTGGACTAGAGAGAGAGAACACCACTGCACTTTGAGTAGAGGGGACACCATGGAAGTCTGAAGTAATTATCTAAAGACCGGGATCAGCCTGTGCTTCAGAAAGAGAAGCAGCACTTCATTTTGGTGCTCTGAGTATGGAAGGCACATAGGAAGTGTTTCAGACCTCTTCTTGTAAGGGCTTGGTGAGGCTAATCAAGGCTGCAGTCTCTGTTTTTTAAGCCCTAAAACACTTTTGCCTCTCATTTCCTTATGTTCTTCTAAAATAAGAAAGAATAGCAACGTTGGTGTTTTCCAAGGGTAAATCTCAGTTCTAGAACACTTCTAGAACCTTCAACATTGATTCCCCTAATCACGGCTTTCTTGTTTTACTCACTAACCACTTACCTCCTCACAAGGGCATGCAAATCATAAAAGGAGCTTCTGTCTTACGACCTTTGGAGAAGGTAACAGCAGCCAGTGTCAAACCTCAACAGTGTGGCTTGAACTACTGTGGATATTTATCATTTGTAACACTGCTTGTGCAAGAAGCAGCCACAAGCAGGCACTGCATTTAAAACCTCTGACCCAGAAACAGTTATTCCCTTCATGTTCAGCTTGAATCTCCTCTCGTCTGCCAGCTGCTCACATCCTGCCTGTGTTGAACTGGTGTCTTACCAATTCCAGGATCCAGGGTCATGTTCTTTCTGGACAGCAGACCCTTCCCGTCGGCTGTGGGCAGCTCCAGCCTGGTGGAGGCTTTGGGCTCTTCATTGCCCCTCTTGATGACCACGAGGGCATCTTTGTGCAGCTGTGCCTGGTGGAGAACTTTCAGGACATCCCTGTGGGCAAGGCCGGCCAATGTGATGCCATTGACTGCCAGAAGGAAATCCCCTCTGTTCATGGTCCCTTCCTGAGAAGCTGCCCCCTGAGAAAATACCCTGTGAACCTGGGACAAGGAGAGGAAACAAAAGCCAGGTCCATTTATGACCGCCAGAAAAAGCAAGAGCACAGCTGCAAATCTGTATTAAAGGCACTTTCTATGTAAAAATTTCCAAATCACACAAGCACTTGCTTTATGAGAAACACATTCAAAGGTGGGGGATGGAATTACAAATGGAAGTGCTAGCACATGACTACTTTTCTCACTCAGCAATGTTCTACCCGTGGGTAATATGTGCCTGGCACTCCCTGGAGAAATAGGAATGTAAAGATGGATAGGACTTGGTCTCTGGAGCCCCATGAAGAACTGCACACACCCCCTCCCCCAAATGACTTCACAGTCCTTTGTGTGATGTAAAATTCTAAGTTATTGTTCTTGAGAAAGAATTAATTTTATAAGCCAACACAAACCTTGTTCAGTTCTAATGCTTTTTTTTTTTTTTTTGGTAATGCTTAGATGAATAAAATATTTAGGCAAAAGATATGGATGTGTGGTTGTTAGGGGCCATTGAGTCAGTTTTGTCTCATAGCAACTCTGTGTGCAACAGAGTCCTGCACCATCCTCAAAATCATTGCTATGTGTAAGCCCACTTCTGCTGCCATTTTGTCTGTCCATCTCATTGAGGGTCTTTCCTTTTTTCACTGACTGTTTACCAGGCATGGTATCCTTCTTCAGGGACTGGTCACTCCTGATAACATGACCAAAGTGCATGAGACAAAGACTGGCCATTCTTTCTTCTAAGGAGCATTCCAGCTGTACTTCCTCCAAGAAAGGTTTGTTTGTTCTTTAGTATTTTTTGCCAACACTGTAATTCAAATGCATCAATTCCAATGCAGTTTTCCTTTTTCATTGTCCTGCTTTTCATGCATATGAGGCAATTGAAAATACCGCAGCTTGGATCAAGCATGCCTTAGTCTGCAGTGACATCTTTGCTCTTTAAATTTTAAAGAGGTCTTCTTGCAGCCGATTTACCAATGCAATACATTGTTTGATTTCTTGACTGCTGCTTCCATGGGTGTTGATTGTGGATCCAAGTAAAATAAAATCCTTGACAACTTCAATCTTTTCTCCATTTATCATGATGTTGCTTATTGGTCCTATTGTGAGGATTTTTGTTTTCTTTATGTTGAGGTGTAATCCATACTGAAGGCTATAGTCCTTGATCTTCATCAGTAAATGCTTCAAGTGTTATTCACTTTCAGCAAGCAAAATTGTATGATCAACATATCTCAGGTTGTTAATGTGTCTTCCTCCAATCCTCATGGCACCTTCTTCATATCATCCAGCTTCTTGGATTATTTGTTCATCGTACAGATTGAATAAGTGTGGTGAAAGGATACAATCCTGACAGTACAACAGTATCTCCTTATTCTGTTCAAACGATTGCCTCTTGCTCTATGTGTAGGAATCTCATGAGCACAATGAAGTATTCTAGAATTTCCAGTCTTTGCAGTGTTATCCATAGATTTGTTATGATCCATAGTTGAATACTTCTGCAGAGTCAATAAAACACAGGTAAAAGCTTTCTGGTATTCTTTCTGGTATTCTTTGCTTCCAGCTAAGATCCATCCAATGACGGATGATATCCCTCATTGCACAGCCTCTTCTGAATCCAGCTTGAATCTCTGGCTTCCCTGTCAATGTACTGCTGCAATCACTTTTGAATTATTTGCACCAAAATTTTGCTTGCATGTGATATTAATGATATGGTTTGATAATTTCCGCATTCTGTTTGATCACCTTTCTTTGGAAGAGGTAAAAATATGGATTTCTTCTAATTGGTTAGCCAGGCATAAATGAGGGAGCCCTGAGTCCATTTGTTGAATCATCTCAATGGGTATTCCATCAATTTCTGGAGCCCTGCTTGTCGCCAATTCCTTCAGTGTAACTTGGACCACTTCTTTCTACAATCGGTTCCTGATCATATACTACTTCCTGAAATGGTTGAATGTTGACCGTTTCTTTTTGGTGCAGTGACTGGGTATTCATTCCATCTTCCTTTGATGCTTCCTGCATCATTCAATATTTTGCCCATTGAATACATCAGTATCACAACTTGAGTCTTTAATTTTTTCCTTAGTTCTTTCAGCTTGAGAAATGCTATCTTTGTTCTCTAGTGCTGCTATTAACAGACATACCACAAGCAGGTGGCTTTAACAAACAGGCAGTTAATCTGTTTGTTGTTTTCGTTAGGTGCCATCTAATCGACTCTTACTCATAGCGACCTTATGTACAACAGAATGAAACACTGCCCAGTTCTGTGCCAGCCTCACAATCCTTGCTATACCTGAGCCCATCGTTGCAGCCACTGTATCAATCCATCTTGTTGAGGGTCTTCCCCTTTTTCGCTGACCCTCCACTTTATCAGGCATGATGACCTTCTACAGGGAATGGTCTCTCTGACAACATGACCAAAGTAGGTGAGACGAAGTCTGGCCATTCTTGCTTCCAAGGAGCACTCTGGCTGCACTTCTTCCAGGACAGATCTGTTAGTTCTTCTGGCAGTCCATTTATTTTCAGCATTCTTCAAGCGCACCATAATTCAAAGACATCAACTCTTCTTCGGTCTTCCTTATTTATTATCTAGCTTTCACATGCATATGGGGCATTTGAAAATACTGTGGTGTGAGTTAGGCATACCTTAGTCTTCAAAGAGACATCTTTGCTCTTCAGCACTTTAAAGAGGTCTTTTGCAGCACATTTGCTCAGTGCAGTACAACATCTGATTTCTTGACTGCTGCTTCCACAGGTGTTGATTGTGGATTCAAATAAAATGAAGTCTTTGACAACTTCAATCTCTCTTACAGTTTAGGAGGCTAGAAGTCTGAGTTCAAAGTGCTGGCTCTAGGGACTGGGTGAAGGCCCCTCGACCTTGGGCTTCACCTCTGCCCCCTGTTCCATGCCCATTAGAGTTGGAGGCTTTTTCTGACTCTTGCAGCTGCTGGCTGCTGAGACTGATGAACCCAAGATCAGCAGGTAAAATGGCACAATCCCAAGATGACAGGGCACATTGCAGACCACTGGTTCAAGTCCACAAACAATCTCAAGATCGGGAGGCAACACAACAGGCCAAGACTTGGTTAAATGTAGGATCCAGATGTGCCAATGAAGCTGAGTGGAATCAAAGTTCAGCCTGCATCCTTGGTTGAAGGCAGATAAGTAAATATGATAAATATAACTCAGTTCCTTAAGAACTGAATAGAATGAAAGCTCAACTATCATCCCCCACCCTGGTTAAGACAGATAGGCAGACACGATACTTCATGAATCAAGCTCAGTTCATATCCTGTCTGTTACCTCGGTTGGAGGCAGATAAGTAAACATGATAACTCAATTCCTTAAGAACTGAATGGAATGAAAGGTCAATTCACACATCCTCTCCATGTTATCCCCCTAGAAACAGGTGATGAATATGTTAATGTTTCAGGAGACAACTTGAAAATTAACTTTGGCCCGCAGACATGCACAGTGAGGCAAACAGGAACAAAGTTGCTGGGAACTGACATTCTGCCCTCTGCCCAAGTCCCAATCAGCTATGACAGGAAGCCAATGTAACTCATCCAGTATGCAAGCACACTTCATTAAAAATCGACTGTCCCTTTAAACCGAGGCGAAGGAAGCCTCAGACAATCCTCAGTTAATTCATGCTCAGATTCCTGAAGTTTTTATGAATATGTATAACCTCCCCTCCCGAAACTTACAAAACTGTATACTGACCTCCATTCGGGGAGTCAGATTTAGGTACTGGCCCCTGTCTCCTTGCATTGCCACTTTGCAATAAATAGTTTTCTCTCCTCTTAATCACTTGGTGTGTAAACTGTTTTGGCCTGATTGTATACTGAGCAGGGACCCACATTTGGTCTTACTTCACCAACAGCTAGAGACCTTTCCCAAAGCTTCTCTTTATATACTGGAAGCAGGCTACACCCCAAAGGCAGCTGCCTTTCCACTGATAACATCTCACAGCAGACTCCACCATGGAGGTGATTACAACCTCATCATAGGGAATAACTACATTCAGCTGCCAAGCCGCTCAAAACCACAGCCCAGGCAAGATGACATAAACCTTAACTGCCACAAATGCCAAGTGTGTTCTCCCTTTTTGATTTTCTAATTCCAGGTCTTTGCACATTTCTATATAATTAATACTTTGTCTTCTTGAGCTGCCCTTTGAAATGTTGTTGTTGTTGTCATCGAGTTGGACCCGACTCATAGCGACCCCTCCTTGGGTTTCCGAGGCAGTATCTACAGAAGTAGATTGCCTCATCTCCTTCTGAGGAGTGGCTGGTGGGTTTGAACCGCCAGCCTTCTGGTTAGCAGTCAAGTGCCTTAGGCATTAAGCTACCAGAGCTCCTCTTTGAAATATATTCAGCTCTTTTACTTCATCATTTCTTCTATTCACTTTAGCTACCAGTTATTTTTAGAGCAAGTTTCAGTGTCTTCTGATTTCCATTTTGCTCTTTATTTCCTGTATTTTTAATGGCCTTTGGCTTTCTTCATGTAAGATGTCCTTGATGTCATCCTACAACTCGTCTACTCTTCAGTCACTGGTGTTCGATGCATCAAATCTATTCTTGAGATGGTCTCTAAATTCAGGCGGGATATAATCAGGGTTGTATTTTGGCTCTTGTGGAACTGTTTTAATTTTTTTCTGCTTCAAGTTAATCTTGCATATGAGCAATTGATAGTCTGCTCCACACTTGGCCCCTGGCCTTGTTCTGACTGATGATGTTGAGATTCTTCATCATCTCTTTCTCCAGATGCAGTTGATTTGATTCCAGTATGTTCCATCTCATGTGGTTCATGTGTATAGTCTCTGCTTATGTCATTGAAAAAGTATTTGCAATGAATACTTCATTGGTCTTGCAGAATTCTGTCATGTAACCTCCAGTGTCATTTCTGTCACCAAGACCATAATTTCCACCTATGAATGCGTCTTAGTTTCTAACTTTCACATTCCAATCACCAGTGATAACACATCTTGATTGCATGCTTGGTCAATTTCAGACTGCAGGAGTTAGTAACAATCTTCAATTTTTTCATCTTAGGCTTTAGTGGTTGGTGTGTAAATTTGGATAACAGTAGTACTAGCTGGTCTTTCTTGTAGATGTATGGGTGTTATCCTATTATTGACAGCACTGTATTTCAGGATGGATCTTGAAATGGTCTTTTTGACAATGAATGCGATGCCATTTCTTTTCAACTTTCATTCCTGGAATAGTAAATCATATGTTTGCTTGATTTAAAATGGCCAGTACTAGTCCATTTCAGCTCACTAATGCCTAAGATGTCGATCTGTATGTATTCCATGTCATTTTAGACAATTTCAAGTTTTCCTACATTCATACTTTGCACATTGCATGTTCCAGTTGCTAATGTATATTAGCAAATGTTTCTTCTTATTTTGAGCCTTGCCACATCAGCAAATGAAGATCTTGAAAACTTTACTCCATCCACATCATTAAGGTTGACTCTTCTTTGAGAAGGCAGCTCCTCCCCAGTCACATTTTGAGTGGATTTCAGCCTGAGCTGCTCATCTTTAGCATTATATCAACAATGTTTCACTGCTATTCATAAGGTTTTTAGTGGCCATTTTTTTTTTTTTTCCCCAGAAGTGGACCACCACATCCTTCTTCCAAGTCTGTTTTAGCCTGGAAGCTCTGCTGAAACCTGTCCACCATGGGTGACCCTACTGGTATTTGAATTATCAGTAGCATAGCTTTTAGCAACACATAAGCCACAGACCAACACACAGTTCATCAAAGTAACAGTTGAATGGTGGATGTAGACAACTGTATTTATGTGCATTGGCATCTAGCCATTGAGCCTATAGATCATATCAGCTGCATATTAAACATGCTTCTCTTTATCAATGAAAATATTCCATCCTACTTTTCCTACTTTTCTATTTTTATTTGGATAGTAGGGACCCAAACCCAGTACACTTTGAAAGGCATGCTGTAACTAACACTATCTTGAGTAATGTCCTGACCAATCCTGAGTCTGCTGAAGCAGTGACCTTCCTGTGTGCATCCTGGCATTGCTACTTACCATGAGTGATTTTGGCTCCACATCATTCCCTCCTGCCACACTGAATCCCAGACCTGAGCCTTCTTTTTTATTCAAGACTATGAAGCAAATGTCTTCTTTATTCTAATGAAAAGAACAGGAAACAAAAAATGATTCCTTGTGCCAAGAATAAGGTACTTTGGAAACAAGTCCTCCTGCCCTGCACGGCTCCTCCTGAGCTTTCACAGGGACATTAGAAGAGCTCTGACCTAACCATCTTGCATCCCTTCTGAGTGGAAGGTCCATCCTGCAGCTATAGGAGAAAGGACTGGGTCAGTCAGGACAATTTAGAATTCCCAAGTCTTCAAGCTGTTCTACATACCAGATTATGTCTTTGCAAATCTGGATACAGCATAGGAGACCATGAAGGGAATTATCCTGTAATTCTGCAATTTAGCCAAGCTACTTTCAACAACAGGGTGGTAGTTAAGGATGTGTGCAACTTGGCTGGGCCTGGTTTTGAGTGGCTGGGCAGCTGGATGTAGTTATTCCCCAGGATAAGACTGGCAATCATCTCCATGGTAGAATCTGCAGTGAGCAGCTGAGTAGCTGCCTTAGGGATGTGGTCTGCTTCCAGTATATAAGAAGCAGCTTTGAGAAAGGTCTCCGAGCTTTTGGTGCATCTGGATTCAGCCAAGTCTTCATCTCAATGGCCTGCCACGTTGTCTGCCAATCTTGGGACTGTTAATGGACTTGAATTAGTGACCTGCCATGTTGCCTGATAATTTTGGAACTGTGCCATTTCACTTGATGGTCTTGGGTTTGTCAGCCTCAGCAGCTAGCAGCTGTCTGAGTTAAGAGAAGCCTTCAGCTTCAGTGGGCCAGAAGCAAGAAGTAGAGCCGAAGCCCAAGGTTAAGGGCCTTTTCCTCAGCCCCTAAAGCTGGCACTTTGAACTCAGACTTCTAGCCTCCTAAACTGTAAGAGACTAAATCCCTGTTTGTTAAGGCCACCCACTTGTGGTATTTTCTGTTAGAGCAGCACTAGAGGTAACCAAAACAAACAGCAAAGAGATACGTTCTGTGAGGCAGGATACGAACACATGGAAGCCACTGTTCAGGTCACTGGATTTTCAGGTGCAGTTAATGAAGTGGTTAATTGTAAAACATAAAATACATAGACATTAAAAGTAATAGTTCTGAACTCATAATGAGACTAAAACATTCTTAGTAGTATCATAGGATTAAATAACAAAAGACTGTTCTGTGTTTCAGGCATTAATCAAAAAGATACCTTGGAATAAATGATTGTTAACAATAAAACGTTAGCTGTGCTCATTGTTCTGAATTTTGACTTCCTTCACCCACACTAGATATGATTCAACATTTTAAATATCAGAATTGCTAGGTTTCAAATGAAGTGATTTCTAACCTGTCAACTGTATGTTCTCAGACACAACAGTGGAAAAAGAATCTAATAGTACCCTTAAAGATTGATTGGAAGAGACAAAGTGGAAATGTTGAAAGATAGAGCCACGTCTGTAATGTGGGCCATCTGTGTGCTGGGGAAGGAACTCAAACATTTAAAAATAACTGTTTAGTCCTATCAGTAAGGTGGTGGTTGTTGTTGTTAGGTGCCATAGAGTCAGCTCCAACTCATAGCAATCCCATGTACAACAGAATGAAACACTGCCCGGTCCTGTGCCAGCCTTACAATCCTTGCTATACCTGAGCCCACTGTTGCAGCCACTGTGTCTATCCATCTCGTTGAGGGTCTTCCCTTTTTTGCTGACCCTCCACTTTACCAAGCATGACATCCTTCTCCAGGGAATAGTCCCTTCTGAGAACAGGACCAAAGTAGGTGAGACGGAGTCTGGTCATTCTTGCTTCCAAGGAGCATTCTGGCTGCACTTCTCCAGGACAGATCTGGTCATTCTTCTGGCAGGCCATGGTATTCAGTATACTTCACCAATATCCACAATTCAAAAGCATCATCAACTTTTTTTTTTTTTTTTTTTAAATTGTGCTTTAGGTGCAAGTTTATAGAGCAGAGTTTTTTACATTCAACATTTTGTGTACATTTAGTTTCACTCCCCAGTTACCATCCCCAACCCTAACCCACTCTCCTCCTCTCCCTGCCCAGTAACCCCCACCCTAGCCCTGGTGCCACTCATAGTTATGCACTCCTGTGTGTCCTGCATTTCTTCCGTGAGAATGTTGCCCCTCTGGTGCCCTGTGGTTGATTGCTCCAAGGGATGCATCTCCATAGAGTATATGGGTGTGTTACTCTGGGTTGAGTGGTCTGTATGTACTTCTTATTTACTACTGGGCTAAGAGCCAGTCCCTGGCAGTGAGTTTTATTCCAGGTCTGAGGTGTATCCCAGGGTCATAATATTGGGGGTCCCACCAGACTCTGTTCAACCAGTAATTCTGGTCCTTATTGTGTTTTTGGATTTTGTTCCATGTTTTTCTTCCCATTCTATCCAGGATCTCCAGTTTTGATCTTTCCCGAGTGGTTGGCATTGGTAGCCAGGCAACATCTACTTCTTTTGGTCTTGAGGTCCATCATGTCCTAGAGCTGATCTGAGAAGATCAGATGGGGGTCAGTGAACAGGCTGATACTCTAGACCAAGGAGAGACTCAGCAGATGCTAATCTTGTGGCGATGCCCAGACCTCTACGACTGCTGCTTGACAAAGCTCCAGCTGTCAAGAGTCTTGGGCGGAAGCCAATTCCACCTTTACTTTCGATTG